GTTGGAGGGTGTTTGACCCCTTCACCAGAAGATAGAACCTCTGACCACAGAGTAGTCTCGCGTCTTTATCTCTTGATCTCTTCTCCTGCTAGACACAAGCTGGATGTGGTCTCCTGTGGCAAGTCCACGGTGCGAGTGCAAAAGGCCATCTGCAGTGGATTCTTCCGGAACGCTGCCAAGAAAGACCCACAGGAGGGCTACCGGACACTGATCGACCAGCAGGTGGTCTACATCCACCCTTCCAGCGCTCTCTTCAACAGACAGCCCGAGTGGTAGGTGGGCGGGAGCCGGGCCTGGGGGGCAGTCGTGGGCAGGAAGGACCTGCAGCTCTCCTGGCACCGTGCATTGGCCCTTCACCCAGCCCGGCACTACCTCCTCTAGCATCGCTTCTGTTTCTAAGGCAGCGGAAGCCAGAGGTGGGCAGTGTCCGGCACATTTGAGAAATAAAGTCCTAGGAGTGAGAACCAAAGAGGACCTTAGAGACTGTCTAGTGGGACGGTTTAAGCAAGTTTTTTAAAAGTAGCACTTAAAAGTTGGACTCTTACCCACCCTAATATCAAACTACGATAAAACCATGGATTGTCGTGCTAGGAGGGGTTAGAGACGCAGAGCCTTGCTGCTCGGCCTTCCCTGGCCCTGCAGCAGTCCCCGGGACGCTGCCTCAGGGCCCCAGAATTCTGTGGAGACAGCCGGAAAAACCACGCTGCCACCCCACAGAGCAGGAAACCCAGGTCCAGAGAAGGGGTGTGCTTGGCTTCAGGTCACTTACCTAGTTAGAGCCGGGACTAGAACACCTCCCGACAGCTTTCTTACAGTGAGACTTGTGCAGCTCCTCGGTATTGGAGCGTGGCTGTCATCCTCCCGAGGGGCCCCTCAGGGGAGGTAAGGGGGTAAAAGGTAAGCTGAGCTCAGGCCCGCCGGGGCCCACGGGGACTGTGGAGCGGGGCCTGCGTGGGAATCTGCAGCCTTCTCTCTGTGCACACTCAGGGTGGTGTACCACGAGCTGGTGCTGACCACAAAGGAGTACATGCGTGAGGTCACCACTATCGACCCCAGGTGGCTTGTGGAGTTTGCTCCAGCCTTCTTCAAGGTCTCCGACCCGACCAAGCTGAGCAAGCAGAAGAAGCAGCAGCGTCTTGAGCCCTTGTACAACCGCTATGAGGAGCCCAACGCGTGGAGAATATCCCGGGCCTTCCGCCGGCGCTGAGAGGCGAGACTGGTTCGTCTGCCTGGCCTGCAGCAGTGGCCCAGGGCTTGGACTTATGTTACAGAGGAAAGGCTGGTCCTGAGGATACAGCCGTCCAGTGACCGAATGTCTTCCCTGGGCCTTTTATAAACTTGACTCTTACTTCTTCCCTGGTGGTAAAATAGGAACAGGGGTTTCCGCCTGGTTTGACCAGAGCCTCCAGCCCCTGCCACCTTGAGGCACTGTGGCCAGCGGGGGCTCAACTGCTGGCATGGGAGCACAGGGCATCATCTCCATGAAGTGGGCAACTCCTGTCACTCCGGGATGGGAAAGGGAGTCTCGAGCACCTGACCTCCAGACGCAGTGAGGGCCTGATGCCCTAGCTGTGACTCCGGAGGAGGGAGGCACGAAGCTCACTGTCCGTGTCGCCTCCATTTCCTGCCCCTGTCCAGCCCTTGTACTTTGGCTTAACCTCCTAGAAATATTTATTTTCTTAAGAAAACAAACAGTTTTCTGTGGGTGTTTCTTCTGGCTGGAAGCTTAGGATATTGGCCCGGGCTCAGGGTGGGGAGATGGGTGACTTTGGTGTCCATGGTGGAGAGTCCCCTGTAACCAGAGCTCTGGGCCTCTTTGGGCTAGGAGGTGACGCATCGCCCAGGCCTGCAGTCGACACCCGAGTGAGCCTGGCCCCGCCGCCGGGCCCCAGGATGAACCACATCCCCTGCCCCTGTCTGGGGGCCCGGGTGTCCACAGCTGCAGTGCGCTGGGTACATATAGAACATGTCCCTTCTTCTGAAACATGCAGGCGACGTCACAGATTTGATTTGATTTTGTTTTAATTTTTTTCCCCTGGGGTCCTCGATGGGCTTTAACAAAGGGTTTTTCTGGTCAAAGCCTCTCGTCCCCCACCACAAAACCCACAGAACTCTCAGAGCCAGTTTGTGCCGCTGTTGCTGAGTGGGTTTCTCGTAGTATTTAGTTGGGGGATGGCCACCTCATAGTGTCTGAGGAAGCTCTCAACTGGGAAGAACATCAGACAGATGCTGCCAGGCCGGGTGGTGGAGCTTCTGGAAATCGGGTCTAGGTGTGGAGCTGGTAGAGAAGCCCCTGGGGGCCTGCGCTGCCTCTTCCATCCCTATTCTAGTAAGTTCTTTAGTGATGTGAATACTAGAACTGCTGAGTTGTTTACCAGGTGCTGAGACATTCTAGGATGTGAAAGAATGTAGGCTTTGGGCAGCAAACTGACCACCCTGAAGACAGTTCAAAGAGGATCCAGCAGAGAGAAATACAGGCCAGGGCGTCTGCTGTCGGAGGCCCCTGCCCCGTCCTTGAGCGCTTCTGAATGCTCCTCAGGAAGCCCCGGGCCAGTCATTATGGGCGGGGCAGGGGTGGGGTGGGGGGTGGAATATGTTTGTGTGTTTCCCTTTAAGGCCTCGTGGGGAGGGACAGGGAGGGGCCTGCAGAGGAAGCCACACATGAAGTAGCGGCTGGGCATCCAGCTCCCTAGTCCCCACTGAGTGACCAGCCCCGGAGGCATTGGCACCTAGGAGATCTTTAAGGCCCTGGGGGGGCGTGTGGGGAGGTTTGGGATTTAAGCTGAGGTTGAGAAGGACATGTTTAAAAGGCCAAGGTGAGAGACAGCAGGGCTAGTCATCTTCTGTGGGTCAGGTGAGCAAAAAGGACCCTAGCTCTGTGGGTGTTCCTTGAACATCTACTCTGAGAGCTACGGTTATTTCTTTGCTCTGTCGGTATGGCTAGGGGTCTGACCTTCAGACTGTCCGTCAGAAAACAACATGGAAGCAGCATCGTTGTGCCTGCTCAGAGGGAGAAAGGGGCCAGATTGGGAAGGAGGACTTGACGGCTGCTCCCACACAATAGGGCCCCTGTTTCTCTTCTTTGAAACAATATTTCCCCAAGATTGAGTGACAGGCCAGGAGAGGTTGTGGGTCTCCTACAGGGAGCTGGAATCTTCTAGGCCATTCACCCCACCCCTGTAGGAGGCTGACTCAGGGGTTCCCTGTCCCTGTGCATGTGCCGAGTGTGTGCTTGTGTATGTGGGGTACGATCCCAGTGCTGCTCATGTAAACTCGACTCCTCGGTCCAGGGTTCACCTTCATCCAGTCCAGAGCTTGCCTGCCGCCTCTGAGTAGTGGCCCTCCAAGTTGAGGGATTTGAACGAAGAGCTGTGAGGAGTGGCTCCCGGAGGGTAGAGGTCACAGGGGAGGGTAGAGGTCACAGGTCTGGGGGGGTGGATATCACTCCTCACCCAAATCTTGGTCACTCCTTTACGCACACTCAGGACCTCAGGGTTTCCACCGACGTCTACAGCTTCCCACCCAGATGGTCTGGCTTTAATGTGGAGTTAAATTAATGTGTTTTTAAGAAAACATGTATATTTTTAAAAAATTACATTTTAAAATGTCCTATTCCTTGCTCTCAATTATAAAAGTTAAGTTGATGTTTTCAGTTTCTAGGAAAACAATAATGTTGCTTTTCATTTGTGGGTAGTGGTTGACAGGCATCCGTTCCTTTGAGGGCTCAGGGGCTGGGGACCCAAGCTGCTCCAGCCTTAATAAGGGCTGAGTCTGTGCAGGCTCCGAAGGCAGCAATTCTGGTTTAACTGGAGAATGCATTTTCACCAGAGCCTGAATCTAGAACCTTCCATTCTGCCCCTCACACCTGCACTGCTACCCCTTGTCAGGTCTCTTCCCTCCCTAGGTGTTACCACTTTCTCAGCTTTGCCTTTCCCATCTACGCATAGAGAACAGCCCCAGCATTCTGGTCTCCCCTAAATCTGGGGAAGGAGCCCGTGTTTTCTATTCCCCTCTCCCTGAAGACCCAGAAGACCCAGTGTCCTTCACCTTCACTGACAAGAACACAGAGCTCTTCCTGCACCCTCTTGCCCCGGGGGCCTTTTTTCTCACCCCATTCTCCAGATCCTCTCCATATAAACTCTTGTCCCCAGCTTTAGCAAAAACAAACCTGGAGCCACAGCAGGAGGGCAGACACACAACTGGGGTATAGACACAGTGTGGTCATGGGAAGAGCCTCATGGAAACCACAGGCCAAACTCTGCCTGAGGAAGCCCCAGGAGGGCCTCCAAGCTAGCCCTGTCTGGCTCCTGCCTGGCTGGAACAGCCAGTGGCCTGGGGGCACCAGGCCAGATTATAAAGTACCCATCAAACATTATTTCCGGATTCTGACACAATAATCCTAGAGTGGGGATAGAACAGGGGAAAGAACAGGTATCACTGAGTCCATTTTTCAGAGGAAAAGTCAGAAATCAACTGTCTTTTTCCAAATCCATCTGGGAAGCTAAGCATCAAGGCCAGGCCCCAGACTCTGGTCATCTGCCCCAAGGCCAAGGCTCTTTCCAACCCCAGGTCCTCCCACGGCAGCAAAGAAGACATGGGACAACTAACAGGAGAAGCAGGGGCCTTTATTGGGGTCTGGCAGATGTGATGGAGGTTGGAGGTGGAGGTAGAATCCCAGGCCTGGGCCTAGGAAAAGGCAGAGAAGAGGCAAAGGGCCCTAGGAGCAGGAACCCAGCCCTCCCTGCCTCTACTCTGCAGCCCCTCCCCCACCCCAGGTTCCTTACTCCAGCCTCCCCCTGCCTCTGGGAACACAGAGCACCAAGAATGGACAAGCAGGACCCTCCAGGGCCACAGCTTGGAGTGGGATGCAGGATCTAGGATTCTGTCTGCCTCTTCTGCCCACAGGGGGAGATCTGGGGAGCTCAATGCACCCCTCTCCACCAGGACAAAGTGGGAACGCTCCTTCTCTGTCCCCACAACAGACCAAATTTTTGTTCCCTGTGTGGGGGGAGAGGGGTGTGGCTTGGGCCTCTAAGTAGGACCTGGAAAGAGGCTGAAGGTGACACCCCCGGAGGAGCTTCTAGAGCCCACCTTGACACGTGCAGTGTTCTCCATTTTTCCTTCCCATCAACTCTGGTGAGCAGCTCAGAGCCTGGGCAGGGGCTACTGAAGGGCCAGTGGGGATCTGCTCCAAAGACATCTGTGGGTTTCAGAGTGAGGGTTTCCCCAACACCATATTCATCTATATGTACACAGGGCAGCACCCACCAGCAGCAGGGCTAGTAAGAGTAGCCACCCTTGGGGCCAAAGGGCTGGGTAGGGCCAGCTAGCTCTGGGAGGTAGGCAGGGCTCTCGTCCAAGTGGGACAAAGGGACTGTGTCCTCCTCACTGACCGGCCGGTCAAACTCGGCCTTGAGGGCTGGACGCTGATTGTCCGGGAAGGCCAGAGAGAAGAGGGCCTCAGGCTCGCACACAAACTTGTACACGTAGCGCTCACCAGCCACCTGGGGGAAGAGAGGGGCTGGGTGGATCTAGCGCTCCCTCCAGGAGGGTTAGGGACACAGCCCAGCGTGTTTCTCTCCCGTGCTGGTCCCTTCCGGAGGCCAGCTCCCCACACACTTCCTGTTCTGCAAACTTCAGGCTTTTCAGTTTCTATGTGGCACTTTTCTGGGAGAGGGAAAACTTGTCTGCAATTTCTCCCTCCCTCTGGTTCATTATCTGCTCCCATACACCTGTTGAGAAGTGCCCCCCCCCCCATCCCCACCATCTTCCCGCAGCTGCTGCCCCGCCCCCTCCCATTCCTGGGCTCTTGGCCCCCCACCTTCTGCATGATGCCTTTCTCGTAGTAGTAGCGGAGCGAGCGGCTCAATTTGTCGTAATTCATGGCCGGCCGGTTCTTCTGGATGCCCCAGAGCCTGGCAACCTGAACAAACGACAGAGTTCTGGAATGGGGGTGCTAGCTCAGCACACAAAAAATGGTGGGAGGGCAGGTCAGAAAGAGCACCTGAGATTCTCCGTACAAAATGGTAAGCTGGTCCTACAGGCTATGCAGCAGCCCGCAGACCCAGGTCTGATGGGAGAGGCATCTGCTATGTTCCCACGTCCCAGTATCTCCAGGCCCCAAAGACACAGGGAGACTGTGACAGACTCTGACAGGCCCACCTCCTCAGGCTCTATGAGTTTGAATTCCATCCCCCGGCCGGTCCAGGCAATGAAGTGGGCGTTCGTCGGGTCGTCCAGCAGGGCCACCAGGAACTGCCACAGCTGCAAGGCCCCCCGGCGCTGGTAGGGCGGTCCCTCTCGGAACACGCCTACCCCTTCCTGCTTGATGTCTCCTGGGGACACCGGAAGCAGGACCCGTCAGGTTTGTGCCTTCTGGTCCCCCAAGCAACCCCTTCTCCTCACCCCAGGGGTAATGGGATTCCTGGGTTGGGGTGGGTAGAGAGAGGTGGGGACACAGAGGGCACAGCGAAGACCCTGACCCTCTCACAGTCACTTCTCTGACCTTCAAATTTCTCAGGGACAACGCAGACATCATCTGGGAATGGTCGCAGAGGTTTCTCATAGCCATAACCTTGGGGAGGAATTGGGGGTCATTCAGATCTAGAGGGGATTCACCGCTAAACGCCCAGCGCCCGGAGGGACTCCTGGCCAGAGGAACCTCCCCGACAGCAGGACTCCCCCCTTCAATGTGGGGAGCTTGGCAGAGAGGAGGGGGCTGCCTTACCCATGGTCCCATCACCTGGAGAGTGCCCAGAAAAACCCTCAGTGTGAAGGTACATGGACGCACACCCCGGGACATCTGGGAGGGGAGGAAAGGAAGGGTGATGTTACAGGTGGCTGCAGGGGGAGGGGGGTGGCAATCCTGCCCACATTCAAGAACTTCTTCCTGCCAGCCTGCATTCCGGTTCTTTCCCCGGCTGCCTGCCAACCACCAAATCCCAAGGCAAGTTCACCCAGAGAGAGCGCGAGGCTTGAACCTCTCGGCTTGAAGTCTGGGCCAGAGGGCATGGGCGGCAGCAGCTGGGCCCGGCAAAGCTGTTGCACAAGGCCCAGGATTCCAGGCAACAGCTGTTTCCTGTGAGTTCAGGGGGAGGAGGGAGGGGAGGGATGAACCTCCGGGGAAGGGGTTCAGTGTCCATGCCTAAGACTCCCTTGGAATGGGCTAACCTCCGGTCAGCAGGTCAGGTTCCTAGCCCCGAGAAGGAGACAGGGAGAGAGAAAAAAGTGTAACAGTGAGTGAGTGAGTGTGTGTGTGTGTGTGTGTGTGTGTAGAAAGGGAGGAAACGGAGGAGGATGGGGGCTGGGTGAAGACCCGTAGGGAGAGAGGTGGGAGGGAGAGCGAGAGCACTCCAGAACGTATCTGTGTCTGGGGAAGAGGCGGTGGGCACTGGGCCGTGTTTTTTCAGGTTTGACAGCAAAGCCCATTTGCTCCCTTTCCCTTCCATTCCTTAGGATTGAAATAGCCCCACTCCACCTGGAGGAGGCAGGCTGTGTGAAGCCACCCGTTCAAGTTCCAACCCCTTCTCGCCCTACCCCTTCCACTCCCACCTATGAATGAGATGGTGAAACCCGACACCTCCGGGAGGAGGCGGGAGGGTGGGCTCATTCATGCCTCCATTTTGTGAATGGAATTCCTGACTCCATTGAGAGGAAGCCGAAGGGGGAGGGGCAGGAGTTCAAGGGCATGAAACAAGATCTCCTCCGGTCTACATCCTTTGAAGGTCAGCAGCAAGAGCGTTTCCCTCCTCCTTCCTCCACCTCACGGCCAGGCGCGGCTCTGCGTCTGCCCCAAGTTGGAGGACAGGCACACCCTTGTGGTTCTCACTTGGGCAACCTGGGGGTTCGTGGTTCATCCCCCCTGCCCCTAAAAGATGGCACATTAGGAAATGGGAAATCCGAAAGCTCTAGCCTGCCCTGAGCCTACTCTAATCTCAGTATTTCTTTTTCTCACACAAGCTTGCAGATAAACTCAAATTTGGGGATGGTGACAATGTAACAGAAGCCAAGGTTTTCCGGGTCTCTCCTAAATGCGAATGGCCCTCTCTCGGCAACAGAGGCTTTACAGTCTTGCTGGCCAAGAATCTGGCTGAGTGCCCCTCACTCTTGTCAACGGTCAGGTGGAACTAGATTTTGAAGCAGCCCTACTTCGTACCCAGCTCTACCAGCCTGGAGGCTGGGACAGAGCGTGGAAACCACTCAGTAATTCGGCGTTCCCGCTGGGAACTAGGAGCCTGGCTCCTTTCAAGTTCGTGTTTCTCTTCATTCAAATCCATTTACACATATATTAAGATTTTATTTGTTTGTCAGAGAGAGAGAGAGAACACAAGCAGGGGAGCCAGATGCGGGGCTCGATGCCAGGACTCTGGGATCATGACCTGAGCTGAAGGCAGATGCTTAACCAACTGAGCCACTCAGGCACCCCCAAATTCATTAATATGTGTGAACTTCTGTGGGGACTGGGCCCAGTGACCCATCCTATTCATCTTGGTGTCCTGAAGCTCCACACAACTCATGGTCCTGCCTAGCACTTGGGTCTCAGCAGGTAACCCCCGTAACCACTTGCCGAGAGAAAAGAGATGCGATGCCTCAACTTTCCTATTAAACCACAAGCCACCCGAGGGCAAGGGGCTGCACACCCTTATCTTTCCTCTGAGTAGAAGTTTGCTGACTGAAAAATGACAATTCTTCGGAATCTATGACAAAAAGGGAGCGTCTGGGTGGGCTGGATGTAGGACGCGGTATCCGTGTGGGAAGGTAAAAAACTTGTAGGGAGACCACCTGGGTTTAATGGAACCAATGCCATCCTCCCCAGCAATCCCAGCAAAACTCCTCCAGCCCCCTTCCCCAGGAGCATCTCTTACCTGAGTCATAGGCGAAGTCCGTCTGCTCCTGTTTGATCACCACCCCCGCCCCTGGGTACCTGTGCCCATTGACTCCACCCTGGCCCACAGAGGGCTGGCCCGCCTGTTCATACAGGGGGTCGAGGTATTCCTGCTTGAAGCTCTGGGTGGGATAGGGTGGGCAGGGCTCCGACAGCTGGTGTGGGTAGGGGGCTGGGAGGGGTTCCCGGCCCCCTCCCTGGGAGGAGGTGAAGGAGTGGCAAATATCCAAGGGCTGCTGGAAGACAGAGCTGGATGTGGTTGGAAGGAGAAGGAAGAGAAGATTAATTTAAGCTGTGTCCCCCCACTCCCCCCCCCCCCGCCCCATGCCAGGTCTCTTAGGGGCCGCTGGAGAACACTCAGGGACCGAGGAAGAACCGGCCTACAGATCTGTGGGTCTCCTTGTCTCCTTACCTCTGCTCCCCGAGGTACCCGTGGCCAGGGTGGGGCTGGGAGGCGCCGGAGGATCTCAGGAAATTCCGTGGTTCTCCCCGGGGGAAGGGCTGCAGGGGTGACTGTCCGGGCGCACCGGGGGCAGGGGACTTGATGGCGATTTGTCTAGGGGGGTCATAGGCACTGGAGTTGAGGGGGAGACAGGGGTGAGGGGGCAGAGAAGCTGGGCGAGCATCTTTGAACGCTTTATCCCCAGAGGAGGAGGAGCAGAGGGTGCTGGGAAAGAAATGGCCTGAGTGAACTCTTTTTCTCCCTTCTCCTAAATCCTGAAAATGGGTATAATCTTGAGAATGCCTCTCCGTAGCCAGAGCAAGTGGGCTGGGCGAGCCGATGGCTTCCTCCAGTGGAAAGGCTTTGCCCTCCAGTGGAAAGATGCCCTGCTGTCGCCCTTCCAACCACTCAGAGGAAATCCTGAGCCTGTGCGGCTCCCTTACAAGGGCTCAGAAAACCTTTTGTTGTCTTGTGTAACTTGCATCCCACTGTTGCCCAACTGCTCCCTCCTCTCCCCTCCCCCCTTCCCTGGGACGGTCTGGGGCTCACCTGGAATAAAGGCACTGCTCGCCATGGTGGTAGGGGAGTGGCAGCTTCCTGCCGCAGGACAGGGCTGGCTCTGTGCGGGGACTCTGGGGCTCCTTCTTGATCCTGGTGGTGGGGCTGTGGAAAGCTACTGCGGGAGGGGGAGCAGGCAGAGCGAGGCCAGAGTGGGTCACAGAGGAGGCAAGAGGAGCTCCTGACCCCTTTTGCTTTTTGACACCTTCTGCTCTTTGCGGACCAGCCGGGTGATTCCCTGGGGCTCCATTTTCAGAGACTCTCGGTCAGACACTTTTAAGGGCAGTTTGGCTATTTACACTATGTCTGGTTTTATACGTCGGGCTAATGTCCAATCCTAACCGAAGAGACCGTCTAAAATTCAACACTTAATGCAACCCCAAACCCCCAAAAACACCTTTGGAGGCGTGAGCACCTCCAACCTAGGGCCTGTGGTTTTCCTGCATGCCCTGGAAAATTCCAAGGGAGAGACATGTTTTCTTCTTTGGTGCCATAAAGGATCTTTCTTTCTCTGGCACAGGTTGGATATGCGCCTGCTTGCGTGTCAGCTGACTACCATTAAGCACATGCTCCTAATTATCAGTGAAGAACACTGGTCTTTCCTGTGGCCCCTTGCTGGGTCCAAAAACTCCAGCCACCGGACTGAGCGGCGGAGCTGGTTCCGAGCGAGCGTGAGGTCCTGTCCTACTGTGCTGAGTCCAACGCCAGTGATGGACTGTTCGGTTATGGTCTGTTTCCCATTATTTGTGCCCTAGTTCATTTCAACGACGAAGACGCTTGAGAACGGGATATGTGACATTAAAGCGGGGTTTCTCAACAGTGCACTGAGAACCTTTGGGACAGATAATTTTTCTTGTGGGGGGGCTGTCCTGAGCATTATAGGGTGTTTGCAGCATCTCTCGTCTCTACCCCCTAAAAGCCTGTAGCACCCCACCCTCAGATGCAACCACCAAAAATGTCTACAGACGTTGCCACACGTCTCTTGCGGGGCAAGATTGCTCCCGCACCCCCAAGTTGCACAAAAGTAACTTAAAAGGGTAGAACTGGGCCCTGCTCAACTGGTCCAAACCCCTCATTTCAGGAAATGGGGGGGTAAGGGGAGGAAATGTCCACGAGCAGGGCACACAGCAAGGATGGTGCAAACCCTGATTTGAACCGAGGTCTCCAGTTCCCAGTTACTGCCTTGGTCTTGGCATCCAAATCCAAGAATGGGGAGCCCTGTTCTTCCCCCTTTTCTTTAGGAGAGAACAAGCTGATCTTTTGTGATTCTCTATCCCTGTGACTCATTTCCTGCCCTCCCCAACTCCCTAGTCCCTCAATCCAGGGCCCTCCACTCACAGTTTTCTGAATGGAAATCAGGAACAAACTGCTCATCACTGTCGGGTACCTGGGCTGCAGAGAGAGGTCAGAGATGAGTCTGTGTGGGCCCCTCCCCCATGGCAGCCCCCCCCCCCCCCCCCCCCCCCCCCCCCCCCCCCCACCATTAAGGCAGCCCCGCAGATTAGCACTGGCCTGAAGGGGAAAACAGCCTTCCTAGGACTGAAAGCAGCCCCACCCCAGGTCCTAGAGCCCTCCATGTCTGGGCTCCACGAAGACCCTGGAGGCAACGCTCTAAGTTCCCAGAACCTGTCTGAGCAGATTCCAGAGTCTTTTCCTAGATGCTTTGTCTTTATTCCCTCCATATTTTGGAAGTGAAGGCAGCCCTGCCCTGCGGAGTTCACAAAGCTCCCGCTCTCAGCTCTCAGCAGAGTCACATCTGGGATGCATAGGCATTACACTGACATCCTATGAAACCTAGAATAATCTGCTGGAGATTCTGAATCGGGCTGGGCCCAGGAATCGGTGTTTTATACAACCTCCTGGGTGAACTCTGGAAGTGGAGAACTTGGGAAAGAAGATCGGATGGAGAAAAGGGGGTGGATCAGGAGAGGTGAATAGGAGGAAAGTGGCTGGGGACATGGGCAGGTCACCATGCCTCATGTCTTCAGCGTTTAGCTAGGAGAAAGGGCAAGGTCTGAGAAACATTCCCAGGGTGCCAGCGTGGGCAGAGCTGGGTTTGGGGGTGAGGCAGCCATAGGACCTTCGGACTTCGATTTCTAGTTCTTACCCTGCTTCTCCAACTCCTTCAGGTGGGCATACAGCTGAGTACCACTCCTGACCTCAGAATCTTTGGCCCCTCTCTCCAGAATAGATCAAAGTAGGAAGGGGAAGGGTAGACACCAAGAAGGACTTCCTGAGAGTCCAGGAAGAGAGTGGCTTGAAGGTGAGGGGTGGAAGACAAGGAGAACACTCTTAGAGCGGACAATGATGGAGAAACTGATGGCTAAAACAACCAGAGTTGAGAAAGGCCAGTAAGGATAAAGGACGCATGACACAGGCTGGGGAATAGCTCCATGCTAGCTCTACCCAAACACACCCCAGCCTCTACGGCTTCCCCATCAGCAGAGGCTCCAGTTTCTTCCTGGGATTTCAGCCAGAGCCTCTGTTGGAACTCTTTCCTTTCCTGCTCACCTCCTACAGCAGGTGGTTCTCCACACAGCTTTCTACAAGGAGTCCACTCCCTTCTCTCCTTGCTTAAACCTCGAACCCCAACCTCTTCCTCTTGGTCAGCCCCTGAGGCCCCCACATTGTCTGACCAGGTCACATCTCCTACTTGCCTCTCCAGAGCTCTTGATTCCTCCTCCCCAGACCTTTGTCTGCCTGTTTTTTTTTTTTTTTTTTTTTTTCTGGCCACTTAAGTCTTAGCTCACTTTGTCACTTCCTCAGACAACTCTGACCACCCACACCAAAGCGGTCCCTCTCGGCTGCTATCTTTGCCCTAGCATATACCACACCGCTACCTGGATGCCTCTTGCTAACTCATTTATGCATCTTCTTTTTTTAAAAAATGATTTTACTTACTTATTTGACAGAGAGACAGCAAGAGAAGGAATACAAGCAGGGGGAGTAGGAGAGGGAGAAGCAGGTGTCCCAGGACCCTGGTATCATGATCTGAGCCCAAGGCAGAGGTTTAATGACCAAGCCATCCAGGTGCCCCTATTTACACATCTTGTTTATTTTTGCCCCAGCATATACTGCTACCTATGCATCTTCTTCATTTACTTACATTTATGTGTTTCTTGTCTACCTTCTCTGCATGAAAGTTAAGCTCCCTGAGGGCAGGGGCTTTATCTTCCCAGAACAGGGAAAACAGGGTCTGGCTAAGAATAGCTGCTTTATTTGTTGGCTACGTGAATAAACATACAATGACCACAATGACCCCTACAATGACCACAATGACCCCATCCTCAGGCTGGTGGGTGTCCTCTCTGAAGACCTGGGAGCAGGAGTGGAAGGGATCTTAACCAACCAGCTCTTCCCTCTCCCTGGGGGCTTCCCTGTCCCCGCACCACCCCCACCATGGTAATTGTGGGGGCAGGTCCTCCCTCCAGAGAAATTACATCTCACAAGAGATACATCGGGCTGTCGCTTAGCAGGAACTCTTCCTCAACTTGCTTTGACTATCAGAAGGGCCAAGAGCTTTAAAATACACATTTAGAGAGAGTAGACTTCTTGACAGAGGGATGGGACTGAGGGGTTTAAGAATCAGAAGCCACCAGCAGCTAAAGAAGAACTCACGAAAAACAAGCAGAAAACTATTCTAAAGCGATGGAATGAATGAGCAGGACACGAAGTCCCCGGGCAAAAACAGGAGCGTGTTTTCTGTTCAGAACAGCTGAGGCACAAAGGCAACCATCCCCAAACGGACCCAAATCCAGAATCCCCAAGATACTTTTAAAAATACACATTTCTGGGGTACCTGGCTGGCTCAGACCCTAGGTATAGCATATGTGACTCTTGATCTTGGGGTGATGAGTTCGATCATCAAAGTTACTTAAAAAGAACGCAGGCTTTCGCAGTCTCCACCCCTGAAGAGCCTCAGTCCATAAATATGGGTTGGGCTCCAGGCCGAGGTATTCTTTTTTTTTTTTTTTTTTTCTTTTCCTTTTCTAGGCCGAGGTATTCTTAACAAGTATCCCCAGTGGCCCTTCAGAATAGGCAGGTTTGGGAAACACTAGATAAGGGAGGGGGGGGACACTCTCAGGGGCACAAGGGCCAAGCTCATCCCTGATGTGCCCTCTGGTCCAGCCACAGGCAATACCCCTAAAGCTGGCAGGATGAACAACATTTCTATCCCTGCTACCTAGACAAGGAGGGTCCCAAGGGCAGGGGAGGTGGAGAACATGGGGGAGGCTGACGCATTCCGGGCCCCCTTTGGGGCTTCATTAACTGCCGGTTTCCACTGAGGTAATGGGCTGGGGGCATCTCCTGCTGGCGTCACAGGCCAGTCATAGGCTACAGAGCCCTAGGGGTCATCTTGCCTTTCCTCCCACCTCAGGCCTGAAGGTCTGACCAGAACCCCCACACCTCCAGTGGTCCCAGGGGAGGCTACCCCCGGCACACAAACCGTACCCCATAAGAGGCGCCATCTTCTTCCCAGGGCCAGGAGAAGGCAGTCAAGACAAAAACGGGCTGTGGTGTGAATCCCAGTCTCCCCCTCCCCAGAATACTGGCTTCTCAAATCAAAGGGGCAGGATAGGGCCTGGCTCAGAGACTGCCAACAAGAACAGAAACAGGAACAGTGACACTGAGCCCCGAGTTCCTGGAGAGCAGGAGAATTTCTAATTACCATGTTCCATCTTAAGAACATGCCACTCTACTTATTTGTGGACTTGGCTGAATTTTGGCTGCCAAGCTTGTGTGCCAGGGGCTGCCCCCCAACTCCATCCGGGCGTGAAGGTGGAGTTTATCTGCCTGGTATGTGATGAAGGAGGAGATGAGAAAAGTGCCACGCCAGCATCGTGCCAGAGAGGAATTTTAGGGAAGGTCCCTCCAACAGGGGGTGGTCAGTAGAAGAGAAGGGCCTTGGGAGCCTCCCAAGCTGGGCTCCGAGAGAACTGGGAGGTTAAAGCAGCCAAGCAGTTAAGCCCCCGCCCCCCAGGTTGGCCATCTACCTACACCATCTGTACCCCATCACCTTCTCCCCTTCCTGGGGTCCGATCCCAGGGTGAAGGGGCCTCTTTAGGAGTTCCAGTGGAGGCGGGGGAGACATTCTCTGGAGTTTCTGCTCCATTGTGTCACCACTAGCCTGTCTCTCACCCTAACCCTGCCCCACCCCAGCAGCCTCTTGTACTGGAAGGAACCAGTTCTCTATCTATGGAGGGACATTTGTCCACAAGAGCCTTCTGGAAGGGGAGGAGACAGAAAGATGTAGAAGGCGGCATTGTAGCTCGGAGAAACTGGAGGAGGGGATTAACCCCATCTCGTCCCACAGACACACCGAGGCACCGGCATGCATACACACAGATTCATACACACTCTACTTCCTTTTTACTACATGGCAGCACACGGGTAAAACATATCCTCCATGCACAACCTTCACACACTGGCTTTCTTTCTGGACTTGCAAATGTGATGGTTAGGAGGAGAACCAAAGGGCAAAGGGACTGAAGACCATAGAGGAATATTTGAGAGCAGTAAACCTTTTGAAAAGGGGAGCACAGACCCACCCCTTTAAGAACCCCGTAAAAACCTATGGACCTTCTCTTCCTAGAAAAATCCACTTTCCTTTGTGTATGGTGCACCCCTAACAATTTTGCACACAATATCGGAGGGCGTAAGGACGCCTGCAACGTACCGAGAGGTTCTGTGAATCCAGACTCTCCATTATAGACCCCAGCCTCATACAAAGGACATACGTGGCCCAGACTCAATGTTCCTTGCTACCAATTACACCCAAATCATTGTCCCTGAGAGCTCCCGAGGGCTCCCAACGAGCCCAGAAAGAAACCTTCGATCAGAAGCAGCACATTTTTGACCCTAACCAGACACATCCCGAGCCCAGCCTGCCTGAGCCCGGGTCTCCCTACAGCAGACCGATTCTTTCTGTAGCAACTCAACAGATCCCAGGCACCTGAAAAAGACAACCCCCCCACCGTGACACACACACTATCTAGAAAAACCTAAAATCCAAAGATGTCTAAGCTGTCTCTACAGAGCCCCACTTATACCCATAAATAAGCCCAGACATCAGACTGACCCACAACCCCATCCTTGCAGACCTAACCTGGCATCCCCCAAATTCTTCACAGCCCCACCCACACTACAAGGAGCCACTGCTTCTCTCCAAATTGGGCCTTTAAAAAAAAAAATCAAACTTGCGGTGGGGAGGTTGGGTTCCAGCCCCCATTCCTCCTGATGTACCTACCCCACCACTGGCAAGTTTCCAAAGAAGCTAGTCCCCTCCCTACCACCCCAAAGCTCCCTCTGGGCTGTTGGGGTCACTGACCTGGTGGGAAGAGGCAGGAGAGGAGGCTGGGGTGCTGCTGGGATGGTGCAGGGGGACAGGGCCCCGGCAGCTGCATCTGTCTCCGCAGAGAGAATGAGAAGGAGCGAGTGGGCTCAGCATCCCCCTCTCAGGCCTGGCCTTCCATCGCCAGCTGGGAACCTGAGCTGCTCCCTCAGAAGGAAGGAGAGGGAACCAAGGAGATCCCCACCCCCACCTCCCCACCCACTGGATTTAAATGTACAGGGACTCCCAGCACACACTCGTCCTCACGCTGACACTTGCGGATAGAGACGCTGACACTTGCGGATAGACACCCGTACTGTCTCTAGACCCCCCACCGCCTAGGGGTGGGGCTTCCAAGGTTGAGAGAGAATTTTTTCCTCCCCTTCCCATTCCAGACCCAGGCACAAATGGACCAGCTACTGCCAAAATGCCAACCTCTGAGCCTACCCCCTATAACACAGCCCTGGGAGCTGCCCGTTGAGGGGAGCATAGGGACCCACCGCTGACAGACAAAAAGACTGGCGAGCCAGAGAGAAATCGGGCACTGGGAAAGGAAGTCTTGGAGAGACCGTGGAAACTGACACCCCTGCGTTCTTCAGCTTCAGCCCAGCTCCGGAACCTTGAGAGGAGGATGGGCAAACTGGGCATATGTTCTGCCCATAACTCAGAGCTGGGCACACAGGGCTTACAGAGTCTGGGAAGATGTGATCGTTCCCTCCCCAGGAACCCCAGATCCCTCCAGCACCCATACAGCCCTTCGGTCACGGATTCCAGGATTCCACAAAGTGTCTCGAGTGTTTGCTATATGCTAAATAGCCGTTTTGCTAATACACATATTTTTGGGGATACCACGGTAGTCAAGACAGACAGTTTCACTCCAAGGATCCAGTCAGGGATCTTTCCCTTCTACCTCAAGCTTTTAAAGATGGTTCCGGAGGAGCTGGGCATGAGCTTAAAAAAAATCACCTAAGATACCCGGGTGAAGGGATGGGGAAATTCTAAAGAAAAGCCCTTAGTAAGGGGTTCCTAGTATGTGGTTTCTTGGTGTTCAGAATGTTAAAATAAAGGGACCTTAAGATGGGGGTATTAACCCTTCCCTCTCAGACTGTCTAAACACCATAAGCCTTCTACCTACCACTACCAGCGACACCCTGAGGCCCCACCAAAACGCAGAGAGGTCCAACCAGAAGACCCTGAGAACACAGCTCCCAACCCAGAGGAGGCCCAGCTCCTGACCCCACACCAGCCGGCTGGAAGTTAACCCACCAGCAAACACCCTAGCCAAAGTAGGGGGAATTTGCCTGGGGCAGAAGTATTCCGGGAGAGAAGGGGGAGGGAGGATCAATTGCCATCAGAATTACAATTAGGGCTATTTGGGGGAGAAGCCCTGGGCCCTCTCTGCCAAAGTGCTGCAAAAAATAATTATTTAAACTTCTGTTGTGTTTTTGGCTCAGAAGGAAATTGTTTAGCCCTGGGGGTTGGGAAGAAGAGAAACCAAAGGGGTGAAAAATCAATGTTTTGGCAACTCCTGAAGACAGGTTACAAATTAATTGCTCTTTCTCTGCGTCCTCCAGTCCCTTACACCGCAACCCCCCCCCCAACACACAAACACAACACACACCTCCGCCGGGAGGCTGCTGCCAAACAAACTTTGCAAATGAAAATTTCAACCAGGAAAACGGGCCTGGGGCCAAGTTCCATTCAAATAAGCAAATACCCCACACAATGGTCTGATTCATCCCCAGGCCTAGTTACACAAGCCTGGCTCAGGGCAGAGAAAATAAGTATCAATATAAGTGTCCACACTGGGCGCTGGGGAGAGCTAGGAGTAAGGGGACTGGGGTGGGGGTGTCTTTGGAGAGTTCCTTGAGGCTGGGAGAGAGGAGAGGTGGGATTGGAATACCAGGAGTAGAGAGCATCCCCCACCCGGATAATAGAAAAGGTCACAAAACTACTCACCTTCAGCGAGCCACGTCTCTTGGAAGTGACTGAGATCCTGGAAGAGATCTGCGGAGTGAATAATGGAATTGGAGGTGAGGTGGGGGCGACGGTAAGACCGAGGGAGCCCTAACGATCCGGGTGGTGACCCCCCCCCACCGCCTTGGTGTTAGGGGCTCAAGAATGATCAGAGTCCCTTGGAGGGGAGTCTTTTGGAGAACAGGGAGGCGGCTCCAGGATCGGCCCTCGGGGTGTGGGAGGTGAGGACGGTCACGGTTTGACTCTCTGGCTCTTTACCTTCGGAGTCGGGGGGCGGCAGGGAGCCGGGGTCCATGAGCTTCCCCTGCGGGACCATCAGCGCTTCGCGCAAGCTCCCATTTCCGGGCGATTTCTGAGGGGAAGGGGAGGAATGCCCCCGAGTCACCCTGAGGCCGCCGGGTCTGGGGTCCCGGGGTGACACAGGGGCGGGGCTGTGCTGGACCCCGTGGGGGTTAGCGGGGAAGGGGCCGTGGGGCGGGGTTCAGGGCGGGGGCGAGCGTGGAGGCCGGCGCGCCGCTCACGCTGCAGAAGGTGTAGGGCACTTGCTGGTCCAAGTATCCGCCTTTCATCCTCCGCTCCATCCGGCCGCTCCCTCCGGCCGCACTGCCTGGGCCCCGAGCGGGGGCAGAGACCTGGTTGGGGGGGGGGGGGGGGGGCTCGCGTCCGCCCCCCGTCCAGGGAAGGCGGGGGGGGGGGGGTGGGTAAGAAGGGCAGCAGGGAGGGGCAGTCCCGAGGCTCCGGGTCCGACAGCAAAACTTCTCCGACTCACTCAGGCGATGGGAAGGTTTCCGCCTGCTGAGCTGAGCGCCGCCACCACTCCCCTCCCGCCAAAGGAGGTCCCACCTGCTCCTGGGAGCCGGGCTCGCCGTTTCGGCTGCTTTCTGCAGCCCTGCTCTGCCCAAGCTCGGTTACATAAGACGTGCGTGTGTGTGTGTGTGTGTGTGTGTGTGTGTGTGCGCGCGCTCGTGCGCGGAGGAGCGGGCGAGGCGCGCACCGTTCGCACGCCCACAACTCCCGCGGCCTCTCCAACCCGGACTCCCAGCGCCTCCCACCCACCCCCGCTCCGCCCTAGGATCTGCGGAGGCGGCGGTTAGAGAGTGCAGAGTGTGTTGGAGGCGAGGCGAGGCGAGGAGTCACAGAGGCTCTCCCTCCCTCCCCTTCCCGCGCCTCACCTGAGGCCGGGGCGTCGGAGCTGGAGCCGCCGGGGGTCGCGAGCTTGCCCCGGGGCCGCACCGAGGGCCGCGGGGCTAGGCCGGAACGAGACGGCCCCGGCCCCGGGTTCCCCGCGCACCCGCTTGTTTTCCGGGCGCCTCCGACAGTTGTGAGCCCGGGGGAGCCGTTGATTGGTGCATTTCCTCCGCCTCAGCCTCTGCTCTCTTACCCCCCCCGCCCCAACCCCTTTCCCTTTGTTTCATTGACTTTTGTGAATGAAACCCTAGGGCCGGGCACGCTCGCCAATCCGGAGACTCGCCCGGCCGAGCCGTGGGGGGCGGAGTTTCCCAGACGCGGGGGCCAATCAGAACGGAGGGGCTGGCTCCCGGCTTCATTCACGGCTCGGGCTCCCATTCATAAAAAAATAAACTCCTCAGCGGCCGGAGTTCATTCATAAAGAGCTGAGAGAAAAGGAGCGAAGCCGAGAACCCGACGGCTTCGTGGCGGGGCTTCGCGGTGTCCCTGGGTGTGAGGCTCGGCGAGCTCCTCGGGCTGACCCGACTGGCGCCTGCACACGTCTCTGCATCTGCGTGTACGTGGGAGTGTGAACATGTCTGTGTGTGCGCCCTGCGGGGAGGCGAGCGGACTTGTGCCCAGAGGAACAATAATAACTAGCGTTTATGAAGCTCTCCGCTTCCACGTGCTCATTTCACTCCCATAACCTGGCGAAGTGATTCTATTGTTTCCATTTTACAGAGATTGAGAACGAAAGCTTAGTAAGGGGTGGTGACTTGGCTGCCGTTGCTCAGGCAGCTGGGGTTTACAGCCCCCAATCTCCCACCTTCTCCTGTGCAGCCCTTTGAGGCCACAGTTAAATGAATTAAGGCTTTGTGACAACAACTGGTACACAGTAGGCCCTCAATAAATGTAAGTTAGCACGGAATCCAGGCTTTTCTTCCAGGGTCTGCTCAGCAGAGCTGTTCTGTGACCCACTTTCTGTTGATTGCAGCAGAAACCAGAGCCCCCCCCCCCCCACAACCTCCTCCCGCATGGACCTCTGAAAGTGCAGTTCCCTCTCAGCCACCTTTCCTCTTAATCCTGAGAGCAAACACAGGGTTTTAGGGAGAAAAGCCCTAAGGCATCTGATGACCTGGGGGGTAGGACTGGTTTCAGTGTAGCCAAAAAGCTGGTCATAGTCTCTAGTCCCTCAATCATTCACCAATTCGTTGGATAAACATTGTGTGTGTGTGTGTGTGTGTGTGTGTGTGTGTGTGCCAGACACAGTGCTGGCTGCCAGGCAGAAAGCTGTGACCAAGACAGACCCCTTCAATAAGAGCTGGGCTGTTTAGGCCATAGCCTTAGGGGCACACAGGACATGAAGTCCCCCAGGCCCTCTTTCTGAGACAATCTCGGGGTCTACAGTCCATACACTCCCTTGAGGAGAACCCGATTTTGCCCCCTGCCTACTTGCGATACACACTAGAGAATAGCTGCACTGCAGGCCAGTTGGGGCTGCTTTCAAAATTCATCTAACCTGGGGCGCCAGGCTGGCTCGGTCTTTAGAGCATGGAACTCTTGATCTCGGGGTTGTGAGTTTGGACCCCATGTTGGCTGGAGAGTTTATGTAATAAACCACAAAATTTGTCTAATCTAACACCTCCACTTTACAACGAGGCAGTGGCATTTCAGAGAAGGAAATGATACCGGTAAGCTCTTTAGGTTGCTCAGTGTTAGAACTGGGACTTGAACACCAAACCTCTAGCATCTAGGGCTATTTATTTTATTTAGTGTTCATTCCAGGAGATCATCGTGGACATGAAAATAAACTTCTCTCTCTTCTCTGAGGAACTAGTCTTTGAGGTTCATGTCTATTGGCTCTCTCCTCCAGGAAGCTTTCCAGGTAACCCGAGGCAGTTCCTTAAGGACCCCACACAACATTCTCGCCTGTATCTCCGTCGTCAATGTCTTTCATTCTGCCTCATGATCATCCCGAAGTATGGCAAGCTCTCCAGGTCCTGAGGAGGTCTCTTTTGTCTCTTAATATCTTCCCCTAGCTGTTTTGTGCTTAGGAGAGTCCCTTGAAATACTAGTTCAGTGAATATGTGCAATAAAGACCAAACTAATCGAGCTTAGCAGGAAGCTTGCCCAAAGCAGGAGAGACAAGCCCCAGCAAATCCCAGCTTTGGGCTGGATGGAACCAGTTTAGGGAGGAGCTTGTGTCTCAGGGCCAAAAGAAGTGGGGGAGGAGGACAGAGGATTCTTCCAGGAAAGCAGCTCCAAAGTAGTCTCCATGACAATGATGAAGATTCCTGTGGGTCCCAGAGGGGGCGCTCCAGGTGGGGGCCCTCAGTGGTTCTGAGCTTTTGCATTTCTCCGGAAGTCCCTGGCTCTCCGGAGAGTAAGCGTTCCCTTTCTACTCCCCATCCGGGGTCCCAGCTGAGAGCCACCCCGTCCTCCCGCTCCTCCTCCCGCTCTGGCTCAGCAGGCTGGCTGAGTGACGCAAAAATGCCATTCGCTGCTGTTGCCCCTACTGTCACCTGGCCTCAGATTCAACACCCAGACTCCGAACAGCGACATCTCCAGGGGGAACATTCGAGCCTCTTCCAGGGCTTGGGATAGCTGGGGGAAAGGAAGGAATAGAGGTTTTGGTTGGTAATCACTTCATGGCAAGCAACATTTCCTGCTCATCATGTCCAGTGCTCGATTTCCATTAACTCGTGCAGCTTTTGACAGTGATCCTGTAAGGGGTCTTGTCCACTTTACAAATGGGGAAACTGAGGCCTTGCCAACACACATCCATTCCAAGGGTCCACTCAACAGGCTGAGAGCACCCCAAGCTGACTTTTTGTCACAGGGACTATACATTGAGGGAACACACAACAGGTTGGCTGGGGGACTCTCCCAAGCCAGGACGCGGACATGTGAACTTCTCCAGATTAAGGATGTTCGAAGTCCCCTCTTGGACACACGGCTTCGTGGATGAAACCCAATATTACCCTGGTACCCCCCCCAAAAAACGCCTTGGAAAGAGGTCTCCTGGGTAAAAGCTTCTTTCTAGAATATTGGGGCTGGACTCTGACCTGTTTCCCAGGAGCCTAAGTTATAAAGTGTCAATGTGGGTTTTAGATATGCAAATATTCATATAAAAGCAGCCTGGGGCTTGCTCAGAGGGCTGGGCAGAATGCAGTAGCAATGACACAATGAGAAGGGAGAGGCACCTGGGTCAGACAAGAAGACCAAGAGCCTAGGAGGTCAGAAGCCAGCTCTCCCAGGCTCGGTTCAGAGAGTGTAGTGGCAGGGTGTGGGTGATCTGTTCAGTCTACCTGTTAGGGGGGACAGAAATGTCTTCAAAGGCCTGGCTTCCCCAGTGTCTGGAAGAGCTCGGAGTCCCAGTGGCATAAAGGGTGGAATTCAGGAGGTAACCCAAGGAGACAGCTCTGTAAGGCCAGATGAATGAGATAAACAGGGTCAAGTGGTGTCCTATGCCCCTTCAGTGGCTCCCAGACTAGATCTATCACCAGGGGGAATGAACCAGAGAACAGGGTCAGGCAGTAGGGATGGGGAACGATGGGATCTTCTTCCCTGTGGACTGGTGGGTCAGGACCACCGAAAACAAAGTGCCACTCATGGGCTTTCTTTTGTCCTTGGCTCCCAGTCCCACTTTCACATCGCTCCCTCCAAAGCGTAGGGCGTCTGCAGCCTGGATTCATGGATGTGCCACCTGCTGAGGCCAGCTTTCTGCTCTGGCTTCCAGCCATACAGCTATACTGGTGCACTCTGCTGACGGGAGGGGCTGTGACTTTCATCAGGGTCATCACCCGGCAGGTCTGAGACCAACCCCCACCACCTCCTCCACCTCCTGGTTAAGAACCACTGTGCTAATGGCATTGTAAATGTCTTTTTTTTTTTTTAATTATTTATTTATTTGACAGAGAAAGAGAGAGACAGCTGGAGAGGGAAAACAAGCAGGGGGAGTGGGAGAGGGAGAAGCAGGCTTCCTGCAGAGCAGGGAGCCCAATGTGGGGCTCAATCCGAGGACGCCGGGACCATGACCTGAGCCGAAGGCAGATGCCTAAGGACTGAACCACCCAATGCACCACTCATCGCAGATGTCTTTACAGATATCTTGCCAATATATAAGATCTTAAAAATGGTTGGAAAAAGGCACCATTTCTGGAGGATGTGCTTGGGTGGGGGTGGTGTGTAACAGCTTCCCTTGCTCATGTCCACCTTCCACTTAGCCTGAGTGGAAGCCTTGACACCCCACAGAAAATAGAGCCCTTCTAGCCAGCTTGGCTGGGAGCGTGTCAGGCTTAAGAGGAAAGGTACAGATAAAACTGATGTCTTGTTCAATTCCAGAGGGCACCCTGTAGAGGAGAGCTGTCTCAGGAGAAAAGTCCTAAAGATGAGGTCTTAGAAGGGGCCTCTGGGTGAGTCGGTTGAGTGTCTGGCTCTTGGTTTCAGCTTAGGTCATGATCTCTGGGTGGTAAGATCGAGCCCCGCATCCAGGCATCCAGCTATCCAGGTCCGTGCTCAGCATGGAGCCTGCTTGGGATTCTTGCTCCCTCTGCCCCTCTCCCTGCTCTTAATCTCTCTCTGAAATAAATAAATAGGAGCTCCTCGCTGGTTTAGTCCTTCAGCGTCTGCCTTCGGCTCCAGTCATGGTCCCAGGGTCCTGGGATTGAGCCCAGCATCGGGCTTCTTGCTCAGCAGGAAGCCTGCTTCTCCCTCTCCCACTCCCCCTGCTTGT